GGAAGAAGTTCGTGTGCCAGCGGCCAGCCAATGCGGAAGAAGTTCGTGTGCCAACGGCCAGCCAATGCCGAAGAAGTTCGTGGCGGGTCTCTCGGCGTGGTGGCTCGCTCGCTGAAGTCATCCACAGGCACACGCCGTGCTTTGGTCGACGTGAGCCAGGGGCACGCGCCGCTCTCGTAAACGTGGTACGGGTGTGTCGTAGCCTTTCACAATAAGACTCGCGCTGAAGGCGGGACAACTGAAGCTGCTTCCCGTTCTCACCTTCTCAGAAACTATTCAGAAACTTAGCGACTTTTGGCCTCTAGTCGGGGTTTACAATGTTCAATAAAAGTCAACAGAAAGTCTGTAGCTTTTCTATTGACACTGGCTACCGAGAGTCAACTAAAAATATTCAACACGAAGTAAACAGAACGTTTGCAGTCCTTCTGATGACACTGTTAACAGAAACTCAGCAGAAAAAAATGAACATAAAGTTAATAGAAAGTCAACAGCTTTTCTTTTGACTCAGACTGAAGAAAATAATCTAAAAGTTTCAACACAAAATCAACAAACTTCATGTTGACCATGTCAACAGAAAGTCAGTCAAAAGAAAGTAATCAGAGTCAACAAGAAGTCAACACGTTCTCAATAAAAAGTCAAAAATCATTTTTATAGGGGCTGCAACCACTGCAACAAGCGCAGCGGGTCGGCAGCACGGCGATCGCCTCTTCGCCGCCATCAGCTGTTTCAGCGGTGCCTCTAAAAAGAAGGAAACGCGTTGCCACTCACTTGCGTGGCAGAAAATAGACAGGCCGTCTTCTATGACCTCAAGCTTTATTTATTTATTTCAGGATAGGCTTGCAGGTTAGTGCATTAAAAAAAGAAAGCGATGCAGTAGGCCGTCTTGGACGATCACGTCTTTAATACACGACTTTGCCAACAGTACAAATCTCGCCACACGCCTTTTCTACGATTATAAAAGACGATGTAATCTTAGCAGCGGTATAGCAACGTAGAATATAATTTCGTTATCAGATAGACGGTGCGAGCGTTCAGGATTGCTAACACTAATAACCTTTCTCGGGTGATGAAAACGCGTGAAAACTCGCATCCTTTATACGGTACGCACCAGTAATACCTTAAACTTGAGCCCACGCATGGAATGCGCCAAAAAAGAAATCCGGGCAATGTTCGAGGACAGAAATGCTAAGAAAGCACCACTGTCGAAGTAAACAAACACGACGGCACGGGCGTTTCTGCTGTCCTGAGAGTGCCGCCGCGAGATCGCCGCACGAGTAGGTGGATCTTCCCTTCTAGTACCTGTTGGGTTATCATAACGACACACGACGAAAATTCACATTCAAGGATAGCGCTTTTACGGGGAACGATGAGCTTCCACCACGCCGTCCACATCGACGATCACCACCGAACGCAGATAAAAGGAGCCCGGCACGACCGGAATGCAACGCGCGCGACCGAGCTCTCCTCGACCTGTGATTGGTCTGTCGTTGCGGTCGTTCCCGAACGTAACGAAAGAGTTCAGCCCGGCTCAACTCCTTGCGTTGCGAACGAACACGAACGAAACGACCGTTTGGCTCCTCGTTGCTATGGTAACTCGTCGTTCCAACCGGTTGCATTCTTTCGTAAGCGTAGTGGTCGCGTGGTCGCTCCGAACGCAACTGTGTGAGCGGGCCTTTACTCAAATACGCTGAAAAGGAAGTGTTAGGCATTATTCGTGCGCTGCGCAAAGTAGTTCTCGCAATATTTGGTCGTGAAAGGTAGTACACGATTCTATTGGCGCCTCGATAGAACAACATAAAAATAATCTAAGGTGCACCATATATCTTCATTCAACACACGAGAGGGGAAATCAGTAGCATTTTGCGATGAGGCGGACTTTTTTTTTTTTTTTTTACTTTCGTTCTTGAGGAAAATACGAGTATAGTTATTGCATTGCGGCATTGACCTCCGCTAATAATTTCGTGCTCATATCTGTTTTTGTTTTCTGATATTGCACAATTACTGTGACGTCATTTCGATTTCAATTCTAGTGTCATCCTACCGCATCATGGAAATCGTTTCACTTGTAATGTGTGCTTTGTATTTTGTTTAAATTGTGTTTGTTTAAATGTTTGCATTTTTTGTCCCTCTACAATATTGTCCTAGTAAAGGCGATCCAGGTAAGTAATCGTACAAATAAATACACCAATCTCGCCGGCAATACCCGCCAATCCCAAGCCGGGGGAGGGGAGAAAGGTGCGTCAGGCAGACAGTTGCTTTCCCTTCCAAACCTGTGCCTGCCAACGTCAGTATCCCCACCTACAAACGTCTCTGCCTTTCCGCCTGCTTTCCTCCTCGCCCCGAAAAAAACGCAGCTCAGGCGCACTTGCGACAAATCTGCGCAGGAGGCGCCCGCCATTAAATTGCAAACGCTCCCCGTGGTTTGAGAAAGACCCTCTCTTCAATCTCGGCTCCCTCTAAGCTGACGCCGGGGCCCGCTGCCGCATCTGCCGGGCACGGTGCCAGTCGCAGGGAGCGTGGATAGCAGACGGTCCCCGTAGGTAGACTTTAACAAAAGCCCATGCGTCTACTTTCCCGCTCAACACTCGGCGAGCCAATCACCGCAACTTACGGAGGCAGCTCAGGGAATGGCGATGCCGAAACAAATGTTTAGAGTCTTTAGACCGAAAAATGCGGTCCGAGTTGTGACATATTAAGCAATGCAAGCCTGACATTGTGACATTGCTTAATGTCACAACTGAAACTGCGTTTTTTTTTTTTTTGTTTTTTCTTTTTGTCTAAACATATGCTTCGGCATCCTCATTCGCTAAGTTGCCTCCGTAAGTTGCGGTGTTTGGCTCTACGAGTGTTGTGCGGGAAAGCAGACTCATGGGCTTTTTTTGTGTAAAAAAAAATCTGTTATTGTTTTGTTTTTTAAACTTTTAGCTTTGGAAAGTTTGATCTTTGAAATCTTTATGCGATGCACCAACTTCCGGGACCTCTGCGGTTAAGCGTAGCCACGGTGCCGATTTATGCGGTCACTTTGAAAGCTACCCCCGGATTCGTGGGCACGCTGTGGAACGACCCCTCCATATTCCCGAATAAAACACTCATCTAATAAATCACCACTGGAAGATTACCATCGGTAGCATTGGTATTTGTTTTGGCTCAAGACGGCCGCGATGCCGCAGAAATGCCAGGGGCCCATTGTCTTTTGTGGCACACCATTTATTGGTCGTTTCAGAAGCACATTACTCATCACCAACTGCACAGCCCAGCTGAGCACGACACGAAACAGGAAAAAAGCTAGGCGAGAAACATGAGAGTAGGTATAGCGCCGGCATGATTTTCTCTATATACAAGGATGCGTTCCCATATGACGCCTCACTGAGGCTGCACAAAAGCGGCGGAACAAAGTGGAGAAATTTGAGAGCGCCCTCGGTGTCTTCACTGACCTCGTTATGTTGGCGCGCCTTTGGATCACAGAGGAGACGCAAGTGCAACAGAACCGAGGCCCCACGAGGCGAGCTGCGAGCCTCGCTCGAAAGCTGCGTGAGGAACGCGGACCCCCAAGGGACTCCTGTACCCAAACTCCATCCTTGAGGCTGCGAGGCCAGGAGGGGCTTTGCTCAGTCGACTTTCCCGTGGATCGGCACACTTGCGAAACTCCAAAACGTGCGATGCTCGACGGAATGTCTCATGCGCACTGGCGGATCAACCGCATTCGCGAAAACGAACGGATCCGCTTTGCTGTTGCGATTCAAATGCCGTGTGAATGCCAGCATGAAGGCTGCTTCCTACAGCTCCGTTTCCTTACGTTATGTTACGTATACGAAAGCTTACGTCTATACTTATGCCACATGTCATCTGTGCCTCGTGTTAAGCGTGGCTACCAGTTCAAGAAGATAGCCTAGTTGGCGACATTCGATACACGATTGTTCCGGTGACTTATACGTAACGTAAGAAAACGGTGCTGTGTGAACCAGCCTTTAGTGTCGCGGAGCCTGCCGAACGATACACGGCAATGCGTGGAAGGTAGCGAAGGCCTCCCGAGCGAAAACACGTGTAAAGCTTAGAATCATTCTGTCACCATTTCGTATAGCTGCCTTTGAATGAGAACTCAAAAGATGTTCTTCTTTGGAGGTGGCCTCACTTAGTTTGTTTTGTGATGTGGGTGAGGGTTGCGGGCGCGATCTTGAAAAGCAGGATGTTCCATGGTTTTGTGGCGTTTGTACTTCTGTATATGAGGAGGTTGGTTAAATAAAATTATTAGCTGAGTGAGAGACGCTGTCTGTCCCTGTTACTTTCTCTTCCACTGTACAAACATTTCCTCCTTTTCCCTCCAGTCTCCGGTTACTATCATCATGGTCGTCTGTGCCCTCGCCGGCGGCCCATGGGGGCGGGGGGCTACAAAGCGAGCGGCAATGGCTTGTGGGCGGCAAACTCGTCCAGAAGTTTCATGCTGACGCTTTCCTACCTTGAGACCAGAATAATCTAAAAGATGCAAGGTTTTGTTGGTATAGCATAAATAAGGTAGCACGTTCAAACCCCGCATTTGCTTTCAAATTTGGGGAACTTGGGGAATGAGATCGGGAGTAGGTGGAGAATATCTCTTGCTAATTGCAGCACGACGGAGCCATAACGCACTCAGTTTAAACTTCGGAGGTGAGAAGAGCGCCGTTCCGAGTCCCTCGAACTACGCATTCGGAAATGGGGTCGCAACACGGGCAGCCGCGCCATCTCGCGCAGACTTCGCAAAGCCGGCGGCTGCACACGCACGCTCGTGATATGGTAGCCTATCTGTTAAACGGATAGTATAGACGTTCAAATTCGAATTGATTCTGGGCGCGAACGACAGAAGGCGGTCTTTAGCGGAGCAAAACACAACTGCGGCTTTCCTTCCCCAAACGGCGGTTTGTCCATAGCAAACAGACTTCTGGCTACTCCGATGAGCTTGCGGCATTTATAAGCGACTGGAGCCTCCTCTCCATAGGCATGTAATGACATGTAGGACGCGGACTTCAAGCCTTGGACTTGTACAGTGGAATGAGCTGAGATGCCCTCTGGACATCGTTGTCGGTCAGGAATGGCGCCTTCTCGATGCCGATGTTGTCGTTCACGTAGAAAAAGTCCGGCGCATTGTTGCACGGCACGGCCTCCTCTGGGAAGGTGCACGTCAGGCTGAGCTGGCTGAAAACGGTCTGGTTGCCGCAGAAGAAGCTGTACTGCTGCACCTCTGTCTTTCCGTCGGGGTAATTAACCACGTTGCACACGTGGAAGATCTGGCAGTTGTTGTCCACGTCGGCGAAGTAGCCGTTCTTGGCGGGACACGTGAAGGAAGTCCGGAAACCACCAACGATGAACTCGGCGCCATCCGGAAGCACGTACGCTTCCCTCTTAGCCTGCGGAAGGACAGTAGCCATATGGTGCCTGGCACTTGTCTTCTCCGACTGGTGTGTTTACCGCGTCCACAAAACTGGTCCTTGGATTTCCGCCTGATGACGTCATACTTCCTGCCTGATGACGTCAAGTGTCATGCTGTCGCCGGCCGCGATCCTGGCGGTGTCACAGCAGCGGTGCTGTATGTGGCAGACGCCTGTTCTGCTGCAGGTCGTTCTCCAGCTTGACAATCCAATCCACGCGGTGATGACAGCGACACTCACGTTCGCTCGTGCTTTTCGCCAGCATTTCTACGACCGACCACCAGGATCACGACATCCGACAGCATGACACTCCGGCTTCTGTGACGTCATTTATTGCCACTTCGGGACCAGTTTTGATGTATGTGCGGGACAGGACGCTAAACACACCAGTCGGAGGCGCTCTCCAGGCACCTTAGTAGCCATGACAGTGGGTTCAAGGGTACTGCAAGTGGAGCAAGGCCCTAGAAGAGCACCAGGTCGTTGGAAGAACAAGGGTTCAATGAACTCGATCTCTTTTAATGGAGAAACGTATGACTCAAGTTGCACGGTTATCAGCGCAACTTTTAAGGAATCGCCACGGTTGGGAGGTAACAAATATACGCAGTGACCTAATGTCACACACTGTTCCATTTGTGCAACTTGGTTATTCTAACACGTATGTTAGCGTGTCGGAGCTAAGACGTTTCAGGTAGGCTGGGAAATTTTTATTTTAAACGACAGTGCATAGCAAATAAGAGAGCGTGCGTCTGCGGTTTTTACGACGTTAGCGATGGAAATGCTTCTGTGCAAGCATCTACATTTTTGTGTCATGCGTTTCTTTGCCACTTTCGCTTGCGCAGATACTTTGTTTTCTCGCCAGGTGAGGTAAAGAACACTGGCACGTATACAACATTCAAAAGCCTCTGTTGAAATGAGCACTGTTTAAATATTTATACTCTGGCAAAGAAGTTGTACATGTCCGTTTTCGTCCTTCTGTTTGCTTTATGCTTTCTTACTGTTACAAGTTGCTCTAACTCACCCTTTTTGGTAGAGCAAGAACTGCGATGCCAACCGCTGCGAAAACTGAAAAATCAAAGTTTTCTTATAGATTAAGACGTACAGAGCTCACACGGGTGTTTTCTAACCATGTACTCACCGACCAGGATCTTCATTGTAGCGTTGAGCCAGGTACCTCGAAGGCCTGCAACGATACGATGGGAAACAGGACGCGTCTTCTCTGAGCCTGCTCTCTCGAGGAGACTTCTTTCTGCCATTACCTCACCTTCATTGACGTCTTGCTGCACAGCAGTGTCTAGGTTAATTATAATACGCACATCAATTTCTACTTCAGAGCAGAAAAATGCCGCAATTTACACGTATACGCTATAAAGTGCGAGCAAATGACACAATGAAATGGAAAAATTTTTCCTACGCTTTTCTACCGGATTTTGTGTCAGAGTAGGGAGTTTTAGTGAGACGTTTGGGGCATGAACGGTTGGTCTCCGAAACCTTCGCCGACGTCACTGCGCGTAATGCACACGCGAACCGTTTGGAACTTCGGGATTAGTTTTTACTTTGGTTCTTTCATTTCGGGCGCTGGCATAGTCACCGGAACGTGGCCGGAACCTTCGACGACCCAGTAAAAATTCAAAATGGCAGTATCTCGGCGACTGCAGTGGCTCCGTCGGCCAGCCGAGCATTGAACTGGCCTACCAACAGTATTTTCGATTCTGCTCTTATTATGCTAATACTTCATTAGTGGGTCGAGCTCCTCAGAGAACAAGGAGTAGCCATACATATGAGCGCATCATATTTTAAAGGTATTGGGAAAAAATACCGCAATATCTCGTGGCGCCACAGTGTGTTCATAACGCGCAGCTGATGACGTTGGAGGAGAATGACGTGATTGACGGCGTTGAAAAGTATCGTCAGAATTTCTTTTATGCGTGCGAAATTATGCGCATCACTCTGTAAACTACCGTTATTCTTAAAAATAAAAAATAAACTTTTTATCGAGCGAGGAAGATGAAAAAAAAAAAAAAGATGTTTCAAACATACAGAAACAACAACCAAAGAACTCCATTGAGATGTCCGCCTCCCCACGGCGGAACCAGCTAACCCTCGCGCGAGAGCCCCATTCGGGAATCGGAATGTCGGGATCAATCAGGGCGTGTGCAGGTAATTAATTTCTACGATTTGAATCTGCTGTTCTAGCCGTTTATTTTGGTGTCATGTCATTAGTTATGTGCCTTTATCAAATATTTATGTTATCAAAACGTAAACGTTCACCAACGCCAAAAGCAATCTTATTTTTCCTCCCTGCCATTTATATTTTAAACAACTACTTCGCGCAGCGTAACAACTCTGCCCAAAAGATGCTACTCTTTAGCTCACCCCACTTTCCTCGCTTTATCTTTCCAGCAAGTTTCGCACTCAGCTCGGCAGCGGACTGAATAGACCCGCACACTGCTCACTAACTTGGTGCCAACGTTTGGAACGAAAGCGAGCGATGCGCCCACCGACGATACATTCAGTCGAACCTAATGGCCTGCGCTACCGGCGAACGGGGGCCAAGGAGACAAGGACAGGGCGAAAGGGGAAGCAGATAAGCATGTACAAAAGCGCGAAAGGGGGAAGCAGACAAGCATGTACAAGAACGAAAGAGGGAACTGGCCCAGTGCAAGAATTCCATTAAAGAGCTGAGAAGAGAGAATGGGAGCATGTGAAACGTCAACGCGGGCATATCTGCTGGACAGATGCAAGCGATTGTCGAGGATGCAGTCCAGCGAGCGATCCGGGGGATACAAGATTCCATGAACAGCCAACTCATGCATCGCGCACAAAGGGCACTGAAATTGAAAAGCCAGGAGAAAAGAAAAAAAAACCTGGCACAGCAACAAGACAGTCTCATCAGGATGCAAGATACGAAGAGAAGGAAGACCACAGAAGGCCCACGGAAGTCAGAGGCATCAGACGCGGAGTCATCCACAAGCCAAAGGAGCCAGAATTGAAGATTTTTCAGTGGAACTGCCGGGGGATGGGACAAAAACAGGCAAGCCTCAGTCTATGAGTGTCCCAAAAAGCATTTCTCCCGGCGGTGATAATGCTACAAGAACCCGGTGAAAAAGCTTGAAAATCTAAAACTATGTTACGTTTGAAGAGGATCAGTACGTAGCGACACTTGTGCACAAACTCAGCAACGAAGCGGGAATTTAAAAGTCAAGGAGCCTCCAGTTGCTGCCTCACGATGATACCTGTGAAAGAGGGAGACCAAGGGATGCACGTGGTAAATATCTATTGCAACCCAAAAGACCATAAAACGGATATTAGGCGAGTCGTGTTTCCAGTGGTGGAGGTAGGAGGAAGAGACCCGGTAATCATAGCCGGAGACTTCAATGCAGCTCATCCGGCATGGGGGTATCGATACGTCCTACCTAAGGGCAGGAGATTGAACGAAGTCATCAACCGGGAGCGTCTCACGCTCCTCACAGACGTGGACCAGCCGACGAGGAACGGTTCCCGTTCGTGCAGGGACATACGTCCGGAATTGACCTTGGTTGAGAATGTGCAAAGTACGGAATGGAGGAATCTCTGTGAACAACAAGGCAGCGACTACTGCATACTGGAAACTATCATACACAAACAGAGTTTTCAGAAAAAATTAGGCAAAACCAAGATAACGGATTGGGACAAGTGGAGGAAGCAAAGGAGCGACACATGTGTCACCATCGATAATATCGAGGAATGATCCAGGTCAATTTCAGACAGCATCAAACCTTGTGTTACGGAGGTGGAGCGCACGGACAAGGAACCTCAACAAAATGGTGAGTTGGGCCAGTTGGTTCATAATGGGAAAAGACAAGCGCCAAAAGACTAGGACAAGGTAAGAAGACGGCATAAGAAGGTCCTCAGGAATAAAATTGCGGAGCTGACGACCTAGTCGACGAGTATGCGATCAAGCTGGTGAACCAAAACTGGTACGGGGTATGCGACCGCATAAGAGAGAATCTCAGACCGCAAAGTCATGAAACCTCTTGCGGGCACTTATCGATCCAGAGAAAACCAAAACGGCCACTACCAACCGTCTAGCGAGTTCGTTTTCAAGATCCCAGGGCCACGAGACCACATTATGGGCCAACTCGCCGCCAGATACCTTTGCTCGACCCTCCGGTTGTACAGACTGAATACGAGGGAAGGGAGGACCCAGACCTCAATTGGCCTATCACTGCGGGAGAACTCAAGTATAAGCTGGGAAATATAAAACAGAGCCGGGGCCGGACTCTTTGACAGCTAAACTCCTCGACATCTTGGAAAAAGAGGACCTCAGGGAGCTGGTCCGGCACTTCAGTGAAGATTACTGGAAGAAAGGCACCACGCAGGATGCCTGGAAAACGGCCGAAGTGATGTTCATCCCCAAGCCATAGAAGGATCTCAACCTGGAAAATCTTCGTCCGATCTCACTGATAGTGTGCCTAGGGAAGGCGTTCGAGCGCGTCATTAACACGAGACTCATGAAGCAAATAAAAAAAATCGACATCTGCCACACATACAATTTGGATTTCGACTGCACACATCCACGCAAGATGTATTGCTTGGATATACGAGGATCTTTTAAAGGACACCTTGAAGGGCCAAACGAGGTGCATTCTCGCGCGGGACTTGAAGGAGGCCTTTGACAACGTCTCACACGAAATTATCTTGCAAGGTCTCAGTTAAGTCGACAGCGGCAAAAATATCTACAACTGCGTAAGAAGTTTACTCTCAGACAGAACGGCGAATCTTACGCTAGGCAATATAAAGTCGAAAGAATATGAGCTCGGACCGCAGGGAACATCTCAAGGTGCCGTCCTGTCCCCGTTGCTCTTCAACTTGGCGATGCGGGACCTGCCAAAAGCACTACAGGAGATGCCTCAGGTGAAGCACGCCATCTACGTGGACGACATCACTTTGTGGTATCGTTCCGGGAGCGGCGGGCATATTAAGGACAAAGGGCGGCTGACATCACGGCGGAGTACGCTCAAAACCGCGGCCTGCGGTGTGCCCCAGGAAATCTGAACTGCTAGATCTGCTCAACCCACGAGAGAAACAAGTGGATCATATCAACATTATAATTGACGGACAGGTGGCGACAAAAACAAGGAGGTGAGGCTCTTAGGGCAGCACAACCCGCAGGGTTGGGAAACAATACGACGCTGGACAAACTCGAAGCGAGTTTGTCCAGTATTATCTTTTTCATCATTACGCCGACTTGCGTAGGCAAGTAGGCGGAATGATGAGACGGATAAGAAACAAGAAACACGGGATCAAGGAGAGAGAAGCGGTAGAGCTAGTACAAGCCTTCATCGTCTCAAGACTGACCTACGGGACACCCTATTTGAAGCTCAATAAAACGGAAATGGGAAAGCTCAACATTATACCGAGGAAAGCATACAAGACCGCTTTGGGATTGCCGGGACGGACAACCACGGACAAGGTACTCAGACTGGGAGTTTGCAACAGCATGGAGGAGCTTCACGAGGCGCAAAGAATCTTTCAGTTGAAAAGACTGGACACCACCGACAGCGGAAGAAGGCTTCTGGATACGTTTGGGATGACGGTACCCGGGGCGCCCAAGATACCGAAGGGGCAGAGGAGATTGATTACCAGATGCGACAAAAGTTTACAATAGGACGAATCAAACAGAACATGCACCCGACGAAGGACGAGGGACGGCGGAAGGCGCAGACTGCGGCACTCGTTTGGTCCTGGAACACCAGGGTAGGGACTCTCCACGTGGGCGCCTCTGGTCCTGCGAACATGGTGGCCACGATTGCCGTGGCAAAAGCTCACGGAGAAAATTTAAGAGTGGCATCGGTGGGGGTGGACTCGGTGGATCAAGCGGAAGAAGCGGCCATTGCCTTCGCCGTCAACTGCAACTCCAGAGTCACAGTGATGACCGACTCGCAGAAAGCCTACATGAATCCTTGGACAATCAGCGTTACGCATTCTAAAGAAAAGCCACATCATGGGGATACAAGCTATTTGGGCCTCTGGACAGATTGGGCACACAGGAAACGAGGCGGCTAATGCCGTAGCCCGAGCAGCTCTCACACGGGACTCGTCTGCATGCCCTGATGGTCCATCACCAGACATGCCCTATAACACGTACTTGGCGACTCAACATAAACCGAGG